TAAAAAAAGTACTTTAACATTTAATAAATTTAATTATACAAATTAAAAAATATCAATAATATTTATTAGTATTATGAGTTAAATTTATAAGTATTAACTATTTATAATAATATAATTTCTAGTTATATAAAATTTGTAAAGCAAAATTCTTAAAATAATTTTATAATTATTATATAATATAAAAATATTCAATTTTGTGATCATTATTAATTAATAATTTAAATATATTTTAAATATTAAACTCCAAGTTAGATTTATTAATAAAGATAAGTTATTAATAATATATATAATTTTTATTAAATATTTATAACTTTAATTTAATATAAATTTTGAATAATATAATCAAGATATTTTTTCTTTATAATCTTTTCAAGAATAATTATAATATTAAATAAATATATAATTTAATTATTTTATTAATTATTAAATTTTTGATAATTTAAAATATTTAATTTAGATTATTTAAATTGTAATAAGACTTTAATTTTTATATTGTATTTAATAATATTATATATACTAGTTTTTTTTGTTTGAATTGCTTTCTTTTTAAGTTAAATTCAATATATTTTATAAAAAACAAATATAAATAATTCAAAAGTGATATTAAAGATTTTTTAACTATTCTAAATATTAAAAATAAGTGATTATAATTCCTTATAGAACTCTTTTTTAGATATTTAAAATAGATAATTTATATTATTAACCAAATAAATTTTGTTTAATTAATATATATAGTTAACTCTCTCTATTGTTAACATGATGAAACCAGATATTTTTGTTAATATATAAGAGGATTAATAACTTAGAGATTAGTATTAGTATCAATATATTAGTCCAAGTGAAATTTGTTCTGCAATAAATATTGATAATAAAGAGATATTGATATTAAAGAGATTGATAATAGAAAGAGTTAATTGTATTGAAATTTCATATTGAATTTTAATTTTTTTATTGTAGAAATTTAATTAAAGAAATAGTATTATAATAATTAACCTTAAAAAAATAGTGATATTAAAGTTTTAATTAAAGAAATAGCACTAATAAAATTATAAAAAAAATGAAATTATCAAAGTTGTAGAGAAAAAAATGTATTATCAAAGTCATTGAGAAATGATATATTAATATATTAAATATTATAATTTAGAAAGATAAATTGTATTTATTATTATAGTTTATATTTATTAATATAATTTCTTATAAATTTTCATTTAAAAATTATTATTATTATCATATATATACAAAATAAAGCAAGCAAGCAATAATTATTTTGCAATATTTTTTATTGTTTACATTTTTTTTGTATTAACATATATGACTTACCAATTCAAATTTGAATATGTATATATATTAGTATTTATAAGTATCTGAATATCTCTAACTTTTTATAGATTATGCGTATCATTCTAAAAATTTCTGAAAACAAAGAATAACACAAATACTATTCATTTACATCTTTTAAAGTTGGTATAATTTCTATATCAGGAATGTTTCATGTTCATAAACTTTAATGTTCTAAATATAATGAAATGATCACTTTAGGATACAAATCAAATGGCATTATTTTGGTTTGAATCCAATTACTGGATGTCAATGATTAGATTATTAGATATTGAGATATGTGTTTTGGAATTTGTGATGTAAAATTTTAATGAACATAAAACACCCGATGTAGAAGTTCTACCAACTTAAAAGGAGTAGATGATCAGCATTTATGTTATTCTTTGTTTTCAGATGATACGCATGATCTATAAAAAATTAGGGGCGTTCGGATACTTATGACCGCTATGTAGATTGGCTCAGATTGCATTATCCAGCTTTTCCCATATAAGGTAAAATATACGTAGTAAATGTATATAATGCTACTAGTGTTCCAACCGGGGGTCGGGTCCAATCCGTGACCGGAACGCACATTTCGGATCTGCCTAAAAATCGTTATTTCTCGTTCAATATTAAACAAAAATTTGTGGATATACACAATTACATTCCGAACAACTCTACTTAAGACACCAAATACAAGTGTCTTGGTAAAAATAAAAGTTATTAACGAAAAACTATTTTACGATTTTCGGGTCAAACCCGACCCTAACAGAGCTTCAAATGCTAAAAGAAAAAAAGTCATGCATTTGCATGAAGAAATTTAGCCAATTAAAATAAAAATAAATTATTATTATTGAAAATGATCTTTAAAACTCAACTGTTCACTAATTTTATATTAAATTATATAAAAAATACGTAATAATGATAATGCTTATCGTTATCTAAATTTCATCAAAATTGACGAAGCGAATTACCCTTCTTATCACCATATCTTATAGAACTTCAATTCATGCTAACGTGCATAAGATTTCACATGAAAATGACATACATGTATTACGCCTACAACATGCACCAATAAGAATACGCAAATTTTGATCAGACCGACAAAACAAATCCAACACAAAAGAATAAAATGTACAATACAGGAAACAGATGCCAAAATCTAGTTGGTGCACTAATAAAAAATGTTTTATATACGTATAATATTACATCTGATTCTAACCCTAAGCTTAAAATCAACTATTGACATTAAATAGAATTTTCCGGGCTCGACCAAACCGGGAACAATGCCTATAACATACATTTTCTGTATTAAAAAGAGCTTTTTATTACACACAACAATAGAGGTCATAAATTGCTGCTTTTTTATGTATATAGTTACTCTTCTTTTAGCGCACACAAATAGGAGTTAAAATAATAACGATAAATGCCTCTTCTTATCTATGAATATCTCCTTTATTGTCGTCTTTTAACGTTAATGCATGTTCTTGTACTGTAATCTTCCTATAAACTGCCGTTTATAGGAGAGCGAGAGTTTTGAGCGATAAATAGTGTTGCCTGCACCGATATCTACGAATATCGCATTTCAAGTTGGATTTTGGGTAAGCGTATGTTAAAATGTTCCTTTATTACGTAACTTCTAAATCTAATTGGGTTTTCGATTACCGTTGTCGATCTTCTAAATGATGTCTTTTCTGGATCAAGATCCCAACCGTCAGTCAATTCAATCAATTATTTCGAGGGAATTTTACAAGTCTTATCTTACTTGGAGAACAATTGTGCGCAACCATTCTAAGCTTTATTGAGGCCCGTAGACCTTTCTTATATACATTTTTTTTTGAGTTTACATAGCAGTATTATTTTTCTATAAGACTACAATTAAGATTAAACAAAAAGGAAAAGAAAATACAATTCAGAGAGGAAATTAAAAGCATTGTTTAAGAAAGAATGTAAGATATAATTAAGGGTTTTGTTTAAGAGAGATCGTAACAATTAAAAAGAGAATACAAGACAAATTGAAGGTAATGTTTAAGAGAGAATCTTGACATAAATGAAAGAGAATATAAGAAAGAGAATCGTGATGAAAAAGAGAGAAAATCATGACATAAATGAAAGCAATCTAAGATAAAATGTTTAAAAGAATCGTGATGAAAAAGTGAAACATAAATATGGGTGTTTGTTTGAGAGAACATTGGACCTGTAATGCGGCCCAAACTGATCCTACCAAGGTTAAGAGGATCGTCGAAATACGTAGTGTTACGAGTGTGACAGTATTAATACATGTATATCGATTTACGGAAGTGAATACGTAACGACTTCCACACAAATAAATAACAACACTGCCATAATCACTAATAAAATAGACTCAAAAATGGTATCTAAAATTTCGAATACCACTGATTGTAGTAATTGCTTTCGTTGTCGAGTATTTAATGACTGTAAGGAGTGTTCGAATCACAATACTCATGATTGTAGTGAATATTGCGATTGTCAAGACAACTACTACTCTACTGCAATGAGTGTTTATTATAATACTCATGATTGTGATAAATGTACTGATTACAAAAAATTACTACTGCAGAGAATGGTTTCTAACAAACAAATCTATAAAGCTGAAAAGTTTAACGGGAATTAAGATATCGACTGTTTAACAAATGCATGCAATAATATTGATAACTATAAATTTTTTGAGTATATCCCTTTGAAAGATTTACCAATATTGAATATCTTGCAAAAGGAGGTTTTGGATCAATTTATAAAGAAATCTGGTTGGAAGGTATTGGAATCGTGGAAAAATAAATTGCATTGAAATTATAATACATTTCAAGACAAATTACGTGCGGACTGTATAACGAACCCCTTAAGTGTAAGCATATAGCTTTTTTGTTTGCAATATAATTAACTTTCAAAATTAGAGTTTAAAGTTATAAACCACTAAGCTACTGATTCAGCAAATTCTGTAATCACAAAAGAATTTGTTTTATTGATAAGAGAAGAAAGTTTCGCTAATCGAATACCAGTTTAGTATCGGGCGATTTGGGTGAGCTAATCAAATTAGGACAAATACAGCACTATAAATGGAGTTACATGCACCCTTATATATCGCTTGGGGTGGACCAATCCGATTGCCAGATCAAAATACGAAAAACTACTATGAGAATTAGCTTTTAACACCTGAGTAAAAATGCTCAGCCCAAACTTTTACATATGTTGTACACTTTTAAACTAACCCTACCCGAACCTTGTATAACAAAATTTCTAATAAATTACGTTTTGTCATGCGTGATAGATTATGATATGATATATCGATTACAAGATGCTATAAATAAGCATATTGCGAGATGCTAAGCTTACATTTATTCTGATAAAAATATAAATCGCGCGTCAAAATACATTTTGCATTATTTTAATAATAGTTTTATTCTACTTTATGATGCTTTGCAAATCCATTGCTAAACTATAAATTTATTTTTCATATAGGACTCAGTAAAAACCGGTTCTTCAAGAACTACGATTCAAATTGTTAACTGGAACTGTTTAATTCATAGAGAAACAGACCGGTCTTGTCATAATTTAATCAACAAATTTTATTGAAACTTTACATTGACTAAAAAATCTAACAAAAGATAAATCAAACTAGCTTGTAGAATAAAATCCATCGTGGTTAAAAATATAAATATTTTTTATGGAGCTCCTTTTATTTCTGCACTACATAATAAACTACTAAGATGAAAAATTTTAAGATCATGTCCCAGAACATTTCTAGCAGCTACACCACCTGCAAGTCCAATAACCTTATTTTCATCGATTATGTGAAAATCTGATGAGCCACCCGGTGGTGCGTTAACCGTAAATGTTGGAAAAGCAAGTATTTCAGGGGTTCCACCATTCCTAATCTCGAACTGATATTCATTTGGGTCCGACCAGTCGAATCCTTGATTTATCTGGCCAGAGAACCTAACATACTCCTCGGAAGATTGGAAGAAATCGATATCTCCTACTAGCGAACAGCCAGTACCAAGTCTAAAAGCTGCACGTGCAGTTTTTTGTGGCCAAGTTCGCTGCCAAAGAGAGGCTCCGTTTGCGGAAGCGAAAGAAAAAGCAAAGATTAAGGCAAGAACGAAATAGAGATTTATACGTTTAGTCATTTTCGTATTTCTTTTTTTAGCTTAGAAAGTTTAAACTCTTTAGAAGTCTTGTGGAGAACTTGTGTGAGATTCAATTTTTATATAGTTTTTTCAAAATTTCAAAACTCTTTGATTCATAAAATAGGTACTTGCGGCTTGATATTTTAAGAAATTTTGATACAAGGTAAAAATACTCGCACAAAATAACTAATAAAATGGATCGGTGTATTCCATATCAGGAATTTTATTTCGCATGAAGAGCGCGTCAAGAAATTTTGATACAAGGTAAATATCCTCATACATCAAACAGCTAACAGAATGAAGACTAATTGGGTTGCTTATAAATAAATCGAAGTAAGAAATGCTTTACCCCTCCACATGGAACTCTTTTATCGTTAACAATAATCTGATCTGATTAGAAAATAGAGAATTTCAAGTTTAACACTTGGCAGAGCATAGAACTAAAAACAATAAATCCGAAAATAGATTCTTAAAATATTTTATCAAACATTAACATTATGCAAAGTGTTACCTTTGTCATAAGAAGGTACATGTACATTGTACATGTAGTTGATTGTATAAATAATGACCGATTCGAATCCTATTGTATAATCAACGACCGTAGAAATTATGGAAGTCGTCAACGTACTTTCCTATTTACATATGTATTAATATATTTTTTTCAAAGTTGAATTCTTTATTCGTATTTGAACGTTAACTGATATAGTTCATGATCTTCCATGGAAATCGTTAACAGAGCAAAACGCTAACTAGAAGTGGTTTTCTTTATGTGAAAACCAGCTAAACTAGTTCATTTACATTAACGTTATTTATTTATCGCTATCATTATCATATACCGTATAACCTCCTGTCTGAGATTGACAATAATAATTTCTCAGATTCGAAAATTTTGAACAAAGCAGAAGAAATCGAACTTTTTGGGATAATAATTTCGCGACAAACGAGAGAAGGAAAGCAACTGAATGCGAAGAGAATCCACAACAGCTAATGACGACCGAAGATAGTGTGAAGAGGATGAGCCGAAAATAAGATCAAGTCAATGATTGACTAAGATATAAATCTAGTAATTTAGCATCATCTTGCAAAATAGAGAAACTATGTACAAACCACCTATGATATTTACTCAATTAAAAGATAAAATTATACCTAAAATATTCGAATTTAATAAAATTTGACTCAAATATCCTTTTATATGAAAAAATTTTAGGCTTTATTTATCATATGGATGTTATATGATGATTGGACAAAAAAGAAGCATTTGAATGGTGATATTAAAGCGGCTGAGTATTCTAGGTTCCGTAATAAAGTTTTCTAATACCGAAATGGAAATACCAGCACAATAGTGCAATTTTTTATCAACAGAAACAGGTATCTAAATTTAATAAAAATGTCAGGAAGCAATTTCACATATAATTCTAACTTAATTCTGATACTAACCCTAATCTGTGTACTCAACAATCCAATGGTTAGGTGCATTTTTGTGAATGCAACCAATAAAAACGCGTAAACTCAGCAAAACAAATCCGACACATGAAGATAAAAATTAAAGAAAATACAAGAAACAGATGCTTAAATCTAGCCTGGAGCATTAATTAAAAATGTCGTGGGAGACTATTTTATTTATAATCTTAACATCAGCCCTACCTAACCTAACTCTAACCCTAACCTTAAAAATCAAGCTTTAACATTACAGGAGAATATCGAGATTTTATCTAGTCCCAGACCCTTAACTCTCATTTATTGTCGTTCTGAATCAGATGGATATATTATAAAAATTTGTATTATTATGGGAAATAAGTGATTTGAAGTAGACGGAAAATGTCGGGTATTAAAAAACATGTATCAAAAACGGAACCTAAATATGTAGATTTATCCAAAAATAGTATTTTACAAATTTTCACTGCGATATAAAACACATGAAATTACGTGTTAGGAGCTTCACAGTTGAGATTATATGTAAGCTCCACAACCCCACCCGATTTGGTAATAACAAAAATAACCAATAGCATTGCGTATTTTCGGAAATTTCTACTGTAATAAAGATTA